AAATTCGATAGTCCGACACTGCCCTGCATAATGTTTGTCGGATTACCGGAGGTCCACTGTATATGCAAGTGTTACTACGTTTATTTATAAAGTTATGGTTGCCATAAAACATTCAAAAATCAAATTTTGCGACTAATATTATCTACATTCTGGTGAGTATTTTTAATTGTGACTCTTGTAAAATTATGTTTTTCAACTCATTCACCTGTCAATTTACCGTCATTTGTTTTCTTGTGCCATAATCGGAACAACTTGCAGTAAAAGAAACTCTGACTCTAGGTATATATGGCTTATTTTTTCAGATGGAACCAAAACTATTTTATGGCATAAAAGATGAAAAAGAACAACATTTTCTCAAGTTCTGGTGGAAGATACCGAAAAGGTAGAGGTACAATTATGCTCGAGTCGATGGTGTAGGTGTTTTAGTAGTTTCCTGGTATGATAATAAAATATCAACTTACCTAGGCAGTCGGCTCATTTCCGAAGTACAGAGGTTTTGCAGAAAGGAAAAAAAATCACATTATGATTCCTCGTCCAAAGTGTATAGAAGTATACAAAACAACTATATGGGAGGTGTTGATCTAGTTGATTCGATGTTAGGGTATCATAGTATACTTATACCGTCAAAAATATATTACTTGAGAATATTGTTCCATTTCCTCGACATGTTGTGCTGTACTAGTTGGATATTGTGAAGAAGAGCTCTCATCAGCAAGAATTCTGATGACTATTTGTCACTGGCTGAATTCAAACTTGGTTTAGCAGAAATTCTAACAAGATCCTAAGTAACCGTGACTTCAAAAAAACGAGGCAGACCCAATGGCTTACTACAGCCACAACTAGATTTAAAAAGAGGACATGTCCTTTAAGTAAATACTAGCCCAAGAAATTCGTCGCGACAATGTGGGACATCTTCCTGAGTGGTAGGAAGATCGCCAGAGATGCAGATTTCCTGAGTTCAAGGGACAAACACAAGTTTCGTGTGATAAATGTAATGTTGAATTATGTTTAAACAAAGACCGAAATTGCTTTCGCCGTTTTCATTTGGAGTATATAATAATTATATCTTCAAAATTGCGTTTAGTTTAGGTATTTTTTCATGTATATTAACGATTTAGAATAAATATGGTTTCAGTAAATTATTTCATTTGAACTCAGCTATTGCAATTTGTGCCAAATCTGCCACATGTCAAAAAGGCTATTTTTTCAAAAAAAGGCATCGATAATTTTTGTACATATTTTTCTAGTTACTTTTGAATAATGAACTGTCACATATATTTTTTTAACGAAAACAAAAAAACAGTGCAGTAAAGGGCTAAGAATAAATGTACCAGTCTTGTAGCATCTTTATAATAATTTAGAGTTAGCTCCATGAGGTTAGAATAAAATCATTAATTTTAAACTAACTACAATGCGTGAGACAGAGTCAACATCCATTTCTGCAGTGTTTGCAGTCAGAGTGTCGTGCTACTGATCAGCCGGCCGGCCGGGCCGCGAGTTCGAATCTCGCCTTCGCCATGGATGTTGTGACGTCGTGTGTTTGTCCATAATTAGATATATACAATACAAGATTGGATCTGGCTAATGGGACGCAATTTTCTAGTGCCAAAACAAAAAAAAATGATTGATGTTGAACGAAACTAATGATTCTGTAAGACAAAATATTCCCCCTTTCCCTCCCCCACACATAGGGTTTTTATCTTTTACTTGTTCAGTTTCGTAACTTCTCGAAAACTTCTCATAAACTGATAATGCTTAATTTTGAGGTAATTTGTAATCAGTGGTTCCTATTGCCAAATTTTGTTGATCCATGTAATGATAGAAGCGGATAATTGACCGATTTTGAAAATTGCTGAAATAATTTGACTTCCGTTTCTGCCCTATGTTGCCACAAGTCTAACCGTCCGTGGGTCAAAAAACAATGCCCAGTTTCCGAATTATGCGTTCACATGATTAATATTATCCATTCGAGTGAGCACGAGCATACTTTGGCCACTTGAACGAAACTACCGAATCTGCAAGACAAAAAACCTCCCTTCTACCTCCTCTACCCCTCCATGTCCCTCTAACTTGAGAATGTGAAGTGGCTGCACGTAGAGCGGTGAAGAGGGCATTGTTAGAGGCAGAGCCTTATTGTCCGTGGCTTCAGCATCCACTCCACCATCTCTGCTGTTCTGTGCCCGCGCCAGTCGCGGCTAAAAAACGCCCTAATGCACTATTTATTCGCTGGTGCTGCATTGTTGTCACCTGCGAGTAGGGGGCCACTCCAGTTAGATGTTGCAGACGTAAGGGATCAAGGAAAAAGCACGTTGGATGTTCATTGAGGCGAAATGTCTTAGCAATGTGTTTCGAAAGTCTGGAAAGGATTTTGTCTAGCCCAGTATATTTAGTAGTGATTACCATGCGTTACAAATTTCACAAAAAATAAAGCATTCACTTTTTTCTTTTTCGTGTTTATGCATTCATACACATTGCTTAATAAGAATATGTACATACGTAATTTTTTGTACCAATTTTTTAGGTACCATTTGTAGGTACTGTATCTATACCAATAATTGGTAGTGACAAAATGAAAATCTAAACATCCAAAGTTGGGACTTTCAGAAACAACTGCGCTTGAAATGACAAAGCTATTGTGTGCTGATACAATACATATCATCAGCAAGCAGCGTTTGCCATACTTTAGTCTTGGAGACTTGCACTTGTCTAACCACTTTCCTATTGCTTGTTGGGATCTTCTTCTACAAGATTCAATACCCCTTTCTCGGTTTGCACCCTCAGGGTTTTCCACTGTGCCCACCTCGACATCCCTGCAAACGACCTGTATCCATATCTCTTTGCACAAGGTAAACAAATCTACGTGGCCCACTTATTCATTTACTAATTAATTCATTTTGAAAATCATGGATTATACTCATACACAGTCACGAAGATACAAAACAAAGTTTTGTCAATTAATGTTGTTTACAACGAAATGATGTCACGCGGCGTGATAGAAAGACATATGCATTGTTAACTAACAAAGCAGGGACTAAAATCAAAACATCAAGAAAATGTTTTATGGAAAGTGCCCACTGTTCGATTTGTGCCTTCAACAATGCTCCTGGTTTTTTATTATAAGCCGTTTTCCTATATTGCCACGAGTTTCTGGTACCAAAATTATAGCATCGTGACCAGGTGTATTTCCTATTCACTCACAAAAATTCCGTAAAAATATTTAGTTGTTGAGTCGAAAAGAAAGAAATGGTAAACTACATTTTTTTCACTATTAACCTAACATATCGTCATTATTGACTCTATTTTCTAAATAATAATAAAAATTCTAAGTAATGTCTGGTATTTTTTCTTTCCCTGGGTACATATAATAAAGAAAATTTACGATCGGCTCTCCTACTATAATGCAGTCGAATGGACCAGTCATTTCTCTATGAGGAGCAGACTTTCAAAAAGCGTTATGCTATGACCCGCATAAATTGAGGAAAGTGGAAAAAACTGCTGTGACAACATGCATAGCTGCAAATGCTTGATTTTGGTGAATCAAATACCACGAAAATAGATAGGCTTTGATGGTGAAGGAGGATTACCTGGAAAACAAATAAATTCCATTTTTTGACCAAAAGTAGATTCTATTTGATGCACTTTGTTTGTCCAAAGGTGAAATAAGTCCTTCTGTTTGGGAAACGGTTACTTAAGTCAAAATACCTTTATTCCATTTACCGATGAATACAATCGTATAAAAAATAGGCTTAGAGAAAAATATTCAAACTTTCACTCCACCATCATCCTCGATGCATGTACATACTTCTTGGGCATTATCTTCATCATTGTCTTCATCACTATTCTCTTGTAGCTCTTCAAGGGGCTCTGGAAAAATAGGGTGAAGCCATTGCAATTCCTCATCCTCACGCCATCTTTCTGTGGATAGCTGCACCAAAAGGTTATGCAGACTTTTCAACTTTGTCCTTTTTATTTCATGATTCAAAGGCAACCTTGGAAAACTCAAGTTTTCAATCTTCTTGTTTTTTTTTTTACTTGGCGTTGACATCGTCATTTCTGTAAAAGGTTTCTGTTTTCACCGCTACACGTTGTTTTGAAGTCCGTTTTATCAAGATTCGCTTAGCATGACTGATTGATTCGATTTTCTTAAAAGTGGACAAAGCGGATTTCAGGTCATATATTTTCCAGTCAGTCCCAAGCTTTCAAACCAATCCGACTTGAGAATACAACTCCCAGTATTTTTCTGGTGACTTTAGTGTGCTATGGGACCTAATAAGCTTCTCACATTGTCCAAAAATGCGATCCGCTGGCAGGTATGAATGACCTCTTATTGGAAAAACCATTCTTATAGATTGCAGGAATTTTGGTGCTTCTTTATGTAGCCACATCATTAGCATGTGAACTATGTGACTGTTCTTGTTTTGGCCTCGACATCCATCAAAGATCAATGTCAATTCTTTCAAGTTTTTTGGAAATTCAGCCTTTCTGAGAAAATCGTAAAGAGCAGAACCAACTTCTGTGGCACCTCTTCCTGCTTGGTGTTCTAACCATGAGTAGAAAATTAGTCGCTTGCAAGGTATGTCTGTGATACAGAAAACATACAAGGAGAGTTGCTGTGCATAGAATGCCTCTGAAATCGGTACTTTAGGGAGAGGTTGTACCTGCTGAAGATCGAAGCAGAATGCCATGCCGTCTTCAGATTTTTCCTTCATCATTTTAAAAAACTGCATTGCTCGTAACTTATGTACTCTTAAATTTGTAACAACAGTTTGCTTTTCGCGTTGGCCGTTCACCATAGAGAACAGATTTAGGTGCTGCGTACAGAATCCACAAACATCGGTCGCCGGTGTACCGAATCCTATGTTAAAGTCATTCGAAAAAATGCGACTAAAGTACTTGTAATTTACTTTATAGCTTTCTTCAACGCTATCATTGTATAGCCTATGTAGTATGGTGATACTGTACTCTGCAGATAAACATATCCTTTTAGATTTCACTCTTCCCTAGTGACTCTCTTGCCCCTTTAAATTTGCGATGAATGCTTTCACTTTTTTGCGCTTTTCCACATTTTTCTGCAAACGTCTGTCACCACCACGATTTTCAGAAATACCCGATCCAGCTTTCATTTGCCTAGAAATATTTTGTATGCGTTTCTGACTAATTCCAAAAATTTTTAAAAACATTTTCTGACAAATTATTTTCTTGCTGTTGGAGCTCCACACATTGTAATGCACAGTAATGCTGCGGTTTCTAGTAAAGCTTTGGTCTGAACGTTTCTTTCTCCTAGGAGTTCCAATTTCAATTAAATGAGACAGTTTCGTATGTTGCTTAACCTTGTCTTTTTGTGAATAAAACTTTTGTCGGCAGCGCCTTAGATCTTCGAAAGGAATATCCTTACATGAAAGTTTTTTATTTCTGCCATGCTTACAGGAGACTTCGAAACCATCAAGGTTGGGATCAGGGTCATCGTATCTAGAAATAAAACCGCAAACTATGAGAAAATTCCCCAAATAACATAATTTACTATATCTACCGTATTTCTTTCTGCCGCTGCCGTGATGTTGCACCCCATTTTCGTTTTCTACTGCCTCTGTCTTCATCACCAACAATATGCTCTTCATCCATAATAGTGGTCCGACCGATCTAACCCACTCGATATCACTATGCTAACTGAAGCAAGTTACGACAGGACTACAATCTTGAGACACGTGTCCAAACAAAAGGGTTTACTTGCTGCTCGTCCAAAATATACTGGACAAACAAAAAAGCGTTCATGCACTAACTAGCATATCAAAGTCTATTTGTTTGTCCAACGCAGAAAAAATAACGCTCTTTGAAAGTCTAGACGTATTAACGGGCGTTATATTTATCGTTTAACATCCTTTTGGATGTCCAAGGAGCGGTTGACAAATGGAGATGAACCTATACATTTGATCGCCATCTTTTGGCCAATTTCGTAAAAACTGCACTTAATGCTTTTTGAAAGTCTGCTCCTCTCTTGATATAACTACTCTTTGTTTTAGGTAGAGATGACAACACATATAATGTGACATGTGGGCAATACGAGTACACCGCGTCGAGCTACTAATCTGTCGATCCGAGAGTCGCGGCTTCGTATCTTTACCTCGGAAGTTAATTCCGAGCCATGGATGTTGAGTTGTGTGTTGTCGTTGTCTATATCACGCACCAGATCAGTGTAGATCGCTGGAACTAGTTCGCTCAATACTCAGTTAATAGTACAGGCATGTGGACAGTGTTTTGGTACTACGGTATCGGCACAAAGGGTTGAAGGTGGCTTAATTGCCAGGCTTCGCCTCTTACTACTCGTACTACTAACCTTCCATGAAAATTTCGTCAAAATCAGACCGGTACTTTCCAAATTATTGACGGGCCAAGGATTAGCGGACTGACGGCGCTGAGTGAATTTTATTCGTGATGTACCTATTTTCGAATGTGTCAGTTTTCCAAACCGATTGCCGATTGCGCATAAAAGATATTTTAAGGTTACAAGGTACCTACTCATAAAGAGCTTCAAAATGAGGTTTCCCGTGACCTCCATTCCATTTGAAAAAATGTTCCAGGATGGCACCTAGCCGTCATCTTAAAATGTTAAACTGCCAGTTTTACACTAAAATATAGAATTTATGCATCAATTCCACCACCACAAATTTCTGCCTGCTAACTTGACCTGATAAAAAATAAGAAAGGGGACCTATTGTCAAATAAAAACGAAAGGAATTATTCTTCTAATTACAACCATGCAATCACCTAAGGATCTGGCGCTGTTCTCCCGAGAAAGCTGTCTGTCTTATAAATATTATATCAGGGAAGTGCAAACAAGCAATGAATATTCTGAATTTTCTTAGAACGCCCTGCGAACTGACAGAACAAACAAGACGTCACCGTCGTTGCCAGCCTGCTCATAATATAATATTCATGGGTCGCAGCACCCCATCAAGAAGGGGTGTGCTGCAGTGCCGTTGTGGGTGTTTGGCATTTCAATGCGGTACAGCGCCCCCACCCTTACAAACAGCCTTCCTTCTTATCGCGATCGCTTTCATGAAATAGTGTTCTAAGCTGTTTGTGATGTGAAGCTTATAAAGCGGAAAAACAAATTGCTAGTTGGTTATGTGTCCCGGGTAATCCATTGTTGTTGATTATGCCGAATTTTTATTATGAAAATTGATATTTATTGGGTCTATTGAATAAAAAAAGAATTGCCTTGGAAGTAAAATCTTATAAGGATAAGTTGATACTTATAAGCACAGGGTATTTCTTATTTTCATTTGAATAAAAATATGTTTATTCTTAAAAGTTAATTCTGAAAAAAAATCCTACATTTAAGTTTTTTCTTATAAGTCTTTACTTATTTCTTATCATAATTCTAAGTATACTAAGTGACATATAAATCCGAACACCCAGTTTAAATGGTTTTATTTTAATAAAATTTTGTATAAGTACTTAATAAAGCATAATAAGTAAATGATAAAGATTTCAAAATGATTGCACTGCTTTAAAGCCCTTTGACCTTTAATAATGTGTGGATGCACCCTGATGTGCTACGCATTCTCCAACGTGCCTAGGCATGCTTCTGATCAGGTGGTCAATGTCCTCCTGTGGTATCTCATTCCAGGCAACCACCAACTCCTCTCGAAGTGCTTCTAGAGTCTGAGGAGGACGTTGCAAATTGAGCAATCTCCTACCCATCATATCCCACACGTGCTCAATTGGGGATAAGTCGGGAGATCTTGGTGGCCATGGTAACAATGTGACAGCATTATGTTGAAAGAAGTCTATTGTGACTCTTGCAACATGTGATCGGGCATTATCTTGTTGGAAAGTTGGATCTGCCAGGGTGTCAAGATAGGGTGAAAGATGGGGTTCTAGAACTCCGTGGATATAACGCTGCGCGTTCATGTTCCCTCTGATGAAGATTAAAGGTGACCTGGAACCATAAGCTATAGCATCCCAAACCATAACTCCAACAGTGTGATGAACATGTCTTTCAACAAGAAACTGTGGATTCCTCCTTTCACCACGTCGCCTTCTAACCCTGGCACGACCATCGTGCATGCCTAAACAAGATCGAGACTCGTCACTAAAGACCATTCCTGATCCCAGAGTGACCGTTGTCTGCACCACTCAAGGCGATTACGTCGGTGTAAGGGTTAGAAGGCGACGTGGTGAAAGGAGGAATCCGCAGTTTTTTGTTGAAAGGCATGTTCATCACACTGTTGGAATTATGGTTTGGGGTGCTATAGCTTATGGTTCCAGGTCACCTTTAATCTTCATCAGAGGTAACATGAACGCGCAGCGTTGTATCCACGAAGTTCTAGAACCCCATCTTTTACCCTCTCTTGACACCCTGGCAGATCCAACTTTCCAACAAGATAATGCCCGACCACGTGTTGAAAGAGTCACAATAGACTTCTTTCAACATAATGATGTCACATTGTTACCATGGCCACCAAGATCTTCCGACATATCCCCAATTGAGCACGTGTGGGATATGATGGGTAGGAGATTGCTCAATTTGCAACGTCCTCCTCAGACTCTAGAAGCACTTCGAGAGGAGTTGGTGGTTGCCTGGAATGAGATACCACAGGAGGACATTGACCACCTGATCAGAAGCATGCCTAGGCGCGTTGGAGAATGCGTAGCACAACAGGGTGCATCACACATTATTAAAGGTCAAAGGGCTTTAAAGCAGTGCAATCATTTTGAAATCTTTATCATTTACTTATTATGCTTCATTAAGTACTTATACAAAATTTTATTAAAATAAAACCATTTAAACTGGGTGTTCGGATTTATATGTCACTTAGTATATTTGCTAGGATATCGGTGCTAAAGGTTGCTCTTGCAAGACAAGTCACGACAAGTCTATCTTGTATCTATTTGATACGGTGCTTACAATGTTGGTTGTCGATTAAGACTTAGTTAGGTTTTAATTTAGGAAATGTTGGTGAAATCGGCCATTAGAGGTATTGCTATAATCATGGCGTCCAGTGAAAAAGAATTACCTGTCCAGATTGGCTTTTGAATAAATCAATGATTCGGTCGATTGTTCAAACTAAAGAAAAGGCATGGACGAATATCAAAGACGAATTTGTCAAGACTTCTGGTACAAGTATTACCATTGAGATATTGAACATATCCTCAATAAGATAAAAAGAGGTGTAGAAAAACTGATAAAAATACGGGTAACCAAAGAAATAAACTACAAAAGTGGGAAAATGAATTCTTGGAAATACTGATTTATGAAAAAAGCCAGTGTTCGTAAAAGCTCCTGGGGCTTGTTCCATTGGAAGTAATAACGGAAAAAATATACTCCCGAAAATAATGGATCAACTAGTATGATTTCACAGTTACCTCCTTTACCTACAGAAATGATAGACAAGCCACCAAGGAAGAAAAACTTCAAACAAGAAACTGAGGACACCGAGAACTTGTCAATACAAGAGTTTCAACAACTTGTTCTACTTGAACAATTTAAGGTCCATTCACACTCAGCCGTGACGTGACAGTGCCGTGACGTGCCAGTGATTCTCGCTGACGTGTATTTCATTCTTATTTCAAAAATTTCTTTTGATTTTGTATCCAAGGATTCGTTAAAGAAAATGCTATAACTACAGAAATTTGTTACTTGTTTCAATATTATCACAAATAAAGCACATTTTGTTTACGGTATTACGCAAAAATTCACCGCGCCAATTAAGTGACAAAATAATAGATAAATAACACCATATGATGACAAATTAAGTTAAAACCAGAATCATTTTAAACAATATGGTTAAACATTGTCTCCACTATTGCTTGGCGATTTTCGGCACCTTTTTGATGAACATTCATCTGCATTTCCTCTACGTCATAGGGTACGTCATGTAGAGTTTTCGGGGCGGTTTGAATCATTTTCTTCGATCGCAAAGTCATCTCGTATATATTTGCAAATGTTATGTAGAACAGCGCAGCAAGCAATCATTTTGGAAGTTTTGCCAAAGATACTCACACTTTATGATTTAAAATGGGAAATCTCTTTTCCAGCTGTCCAAATACTCTTTAAAGTGTGACTCTTTCTTTGGAATGGGAAATGTTGAATAGTTCCTCTCTTGTGTTTTGATGGAGCAATTCATATACACTATCTGGGAGAAGACAAAAATTACCTCGAAATCTAGCCATAATTTTATATATTGAACTTCTGGAATTGTGAACACTTCATTTGCATTACAAGTTACTTGTACAATTATTCTCGCAAATCCTTTTCTATTGACATATTCGTCAGCAAAGTCTGAAGGTTTTTTGATTTGGACATGAGTACAGTCTAATACACAGATGGCAGTAGATGTAACAAATCGATTCGACTATTTTCTTCTTGCTTCTGCCATGCCATACAGGTCAGACGGGAACTTTATCCACTGATGGACTTTTTCAAATATTCTATCAGCAACATGATCTATATTTTCACATACTGTCGAATGGTGAACGCTGAAATTTTCAGCAATTCCTGTTTGAAATCAAGTATCACTGACATACCGCAGAAATATTTCCATTCTTTGTCGTGAGGTAAGTACATACACCTCCTGTGGTTTCATTCGTCTGCGGTGAAAAATATTCTGATAAATTCGCTTTCAAAACGCAATAAAACCTTAGAT